CAATTAAAGCAAATTAGGAATGTTTAACTTTGTGAGCTTTTAAATTTAATTCATGCAGAGAGTTGCTGAAAAGTTAAGTGTCAGGACCTCAGCTGCTGCTTCCCATCCATCAATAGACCCACTAGACTGTTTGACCTAAACTCTTCAACCCACAAAGGGGTATGTGAAGAAAGCAGTTTCAAAAACAAAAGGCAGCTGTACGCTTTTTCCAAACATGAATGTCAGAGCTTAAACAATGTAAACAATTCAACTTGGAAGTGTGAAAAACAAACAAACAAGTATGGCTTTGTTGCCTGTGAATCAAGTTTATTGCTTGCAAACAAACATAATACTTTTTCTTCACAGCATAACAGCAACAACCCAACCAACAGCTTAATTGAAATTCCTCCGCCACTTTCTGTTAATTGCACATGTAGCAGATCAAGTTACATAGTCTCGACAAAGTACTGCCTAATGTCTGTTTAAGTAGCAGAACAGGATCAACGACGTCTTCAATAAACTAACAAAACTTCCTCACAGGTCCTATTCATTCTGAGCAGACAATAAGGAGCTGCTGATTGATTCTGTATTCGTTAAAAAGCGGCCTATTCTTCCCTTATGGATCAGAATTCCAGCCTTCCCCTGCCTCGATCAGAAGCCAGGCATCTGCAGTGAACCACAAGGCCAAATTGTCCGTTCTATACTGCTCAGCATGGACCCACAGTTCCAGAAACAAGTTACTTGAGTGATAGTGTAAGTACGTGCTGTAGCTTGTAAGGGAAGAGAAAAGAAACCAACACTGAGCACTGGGAGCAATTAACAGTTTTTCGCTCGCTTTGCAACTGATTCAGGTTCAGACAATCTGCTGGTACATGTGAAAAACAAAACAAACATGAACAATAAAAGCAGCCTTGGAGCAGATTAGTAAGTGACATCTCCACTGGCCCTCTAATTATGTCAGAAGTACCAGCAGCCTTTCTGGTTAACTTCATCAGAAAAAAACATCAAGCAGAAGCATAGCCCTCATAGTTCAATGCATTTATTATAATGTGCATAATAGGAGAAGATCTATAAATAAATAACCATGTTTTTTTTTCAACAATGGGCAAACAGGCTTATCTTTCATAATTTAGAGGATGAGCGGAAGACCATGGCATATTTTATAAAAAATCTCATATTTATTATTATCTTCCAAATCAAACCAGGAGAGCCCTGTTTGTAGACAGTGACCGGAATGAAATGCTCATCTACCGCAGATCCTTTGCAAAGTTTGAGCCAAGTCGACACCTTTTACAACATCACAACACATATCAAAATGTTGATGTAGTAAAAACACTACATCAAATGACACAGAGGCTCAGGAGCTACAGAGTGAGAGAGAACATTCAACAGCTCTAGCTCAGCACGAGGAGCAAGGAGCCGTTATTTATGAACCCAAACCCTGACTTTTAATAACAGTCGTACACTCCCCATGTGGCTGATGATGGGGCGCAATCTCCTTATAAGCATAAGCACAACCATAAATTTAAATGCTTGGGATTTATATTACAATTACACAAGATTTGAAAAGTGTGTCTGTAGCCACGTACACATCATGCTTCTGATGACACACATTTACTATTAACTACAATATGGAGATTTTAAGTAACAAGTAGGAACAGCCACTTTTAACTTAAGTTGTATATCTTGCGACATTTGGACCAGAATTTAAAAAAGATACTATGTAATATTCTGGACAAAAGTGATACTCCAACCTCTCCCACTCGCCCTGACTCAGGTTGCCAAATATGCGAACAAATCCAGCTGGGAACATCATAGCTGAATAGACAAGAGTTTTGTCAACAGCAAATCTATAAACGACACCTTTTTCACAAAGGCATCCCCGATAGAACTCGTTTTATTTCTTGTTTTGTCATCAGTTATTTGAGAATCATAACAAGACCTTTTATCGTGCAGCGGCCTGAAATGTCACTTTACCAGTGAGATTAGCTTAACGCGGTGAGTTCTGGCAACCCGGATAACAGACTTTCTGATTAGTAAAGTGGTGCAGGGCGGGACATCGAAATGAAAATCAAAAGATTAAGGGGCAATAAAACTAATTTTGAAATTCGAATATCTTGGCTGAACTATTGTTATCAGTTAAAGAAGTATTCAAAAACTCAAGATTTATAAAAAAAAATAGGCCATTCAATCATGACATGACATGCAAATTTTACATATTGCCACTTGAAGTATTTTCTATGAATGCAAATAATACAGTGGCTTTCCATAGCTTTTTCTGATAATAATGATAGTTTCCCATTCGTTAACTTAAATGGTTGAGACATTGGCTGTTGACACATGGCACCATCCCAAAATATATTCCACTAGCCGCCCCTGCTATCAATAGGCAAATCTATAATACAGATACCAAAATCGGATTGGGACATTCTTACTTAAATAATGAAGCATTGATGAAAAAAGGTAATTCAGTATAACATTTGGCTGCTCCGTATGCCATTCTAAATGTATTTGTCTCCAGTAGGTTAGACTACTGCAATGGCCTGCTCACAGGTCTGTCCAAACAGGCTGTAAAACAGCTGCAGTACATTCAAAATGCAGCAGCTCGAGTCCTGACTAGAACCAGGAAGTACGACCACATTAGTCCAGTTCTCAGGTCTCTGCACTGGCTTCCTGTGGCTCAGAGAATAGACTTTAAAACAGCTCTGCTTGTGTACAAGTCTCTCCATGGACTCGCACCAAAATATATTAGTGACATGTTAGTCCCATATGAACCAGCCCGGACTCTGAGGAGCACAGGGACTGGACTCCTGTTAGTGCCCAGAGTCAGAACTAAACATAGGGATGCTGCTTTTCAGATTCATGCTGCTAAAATCTGGAATAATCTCCCTGAAGATGTGAGACAGGCCTCCTCTCTGACAATGTTTAAAACCAGGTTAAAAACGGTTCTGTTTTGCTGTGCATACAACTGAGGGATTTTATATTTTTATCTTCCTTTTTAATGTTCTGTGATTATTTATGATTTTAATGCTTTCTTGTTTTGTTCAGCACTTTGAGTTGCCTTGTGTATGAATTGTGCTATACAAATAAACTTGCCTTGCCTTGCCTTAAATGTACCACTACTTATGAGTTTGCTTACTTTCCTTCAAAACAACTGAACTTGCCTTTGTGGCCTAATGTTTTCCTTCAATTTAAATGCCAATACACACATTGATTAATGCTGTTTATACATGTTATCTTCTGCTAAATAATTCACACTACTTTTTATAGAGTATATCAATCACAGACACTGATGCTCACAACCACTTCTCTCCAATTAAGTAGCACTCATGACATAAACACAAAAACTACGTAAAAAAAAATAATTATGATGTACATTATAGAATACTTGTTTTTAGGCCATTTTGAATTACATATCTACCTTTATAAAGGGCTGACAAATTTCAAACCACAAAAAAATAACCTATGTAATAAAACTTATGTTTATAGTTTCTGGCTCTATAACTCTTCAGTTCCATCACTAGTTTTCACATGGATGTTTTTTTGGCCAATCACATCTTTAGAGCTTTTTCAAACAGAGAACAACAAGAGGACCAGCCTCACTCAGCCAATCAGCTCTCAGCCCAAACAGTCAAAACGTATGCAAGAATAACATTTTCTAATAAGATGGAGACAGCATGTTGTGGTCTGATTTGTTCACTACACTTTACTTTAACAAGACTCTTTCAGTTGAAACAAACACAATGTATTATTAATGGAAGTTAAATACCCCAGCTTTAACTCTGCGCTTCCATGTTCCTCCTGTGTTGAAGTTTCACAGTCGGCCTCGTGTCACATACAGGTCATTTGTATCTGGTGCGGTTTAGTATTCAGTGAGGTGAGGGAGAGAGGTCATGTGACAGCCACCGAGAGCCAGGACCCTCCGTGACCTCTGTCTATAATTTATCGCTTGGAAAATGGGGCACATCAAACCCACGCGTGGCCGCACCCAAAAAGAGAAGACAGGACCTCTCCACTGTGTAGCATGGCACTCTGACCCTGGATTAAAGCATGTACAGTGCAGAAGCTTAGTGATACCTCAGATATTAAATTCTTAAGGTGTCCCAAGAGGGGAGGTATCAAAGGACCTCAACTTTGGGTGGAAGATGGAACCCGATTCTGATACCACTTATTATCCTGGACGAGAGTATCTTATGAATACGCTGCTACCAGTTGCATGCTATGTTCATGTGTTATCGCATTAACGCATTTCGTAATTATCCCATTTTTTATTTTTTATTATTATTTTTAAATCCCTGAACCATAGAGGTGTTTGGTCCTCGTCCATGCATCCACACAGCAGCGAGGAGAGTCAAAGTTATGTTTAAAGCATACAAAACCACCAGATAATGACCCACTGATCACGTTGTGGGCACAAGTCAATTCATGTTTGAAAACAACTACAACTGAGGAATCTACTCCACGCATGTTCAGGAGATAGATCTGTTGGTTCCAGGACTGAACAAGGACTGAACCAGGACTGAACCAGGACTGAACCAGGACTGAAGAATTGAGGGAATAGTGTTGTGTTCCGCTGAAACACCATCCCTTTTATACTTGATTATCTAAATAATCAGCTAATAACCATGTTATATTTAGCAATATATAATTCAGATTTTGTATCAATTTAATTAATTACAAATCCAAATTGTTATCGTTGCCCACCACTTGTTATTTATACTGTTATTTCTAGCTATGCTTTTTTAATTCATTTTCACCAACCTAAAAATGACAAAGGATGAAATTAATGTTTATCAAAAATGAAAATAAAACTTTAACACGAGCCGTTTTCAAATCTATAGGGTCATGTAAATTTGCAATGAAAATTGCATGCACAAATTGCATATTACTGTATTGTGACTAAACAAACCAAGTATTATGATGTTATCAGAGAGCTGACAGTAGCTGCAGGTGTTGAGCAATATTGCTCAGGATTTACAATAAAGTTGATATCAAAGTGTGTGTTGTATGACAGAACTTACCAGATGTTCCAGCCCTTTGGATTTGATGCTCCCGGGGTCTCTGAAACACAATGACAAAACTTAAAAAGTGCAAATACAAATTATATTTAATGAAAATAGTTCCTTTCAGGGGCGACAGTAGCTCAGTTGGTAGAGCAGTGGCCTTTGAGCCTGGAGGTCGTGAGTTCGATTCCCACCATGGGACCTACTCCAACTGCTCCCACTGATGTCTACTGTCGTTGTGTCCTTGGGCAAGACACTTAACTCCACGTTGCCTGAAGCCCCGCTGAAAGACCAAGGCTGTTTCACTGCAGACGGAGTAGCCATCTTCCTGTGGACTCACCCCCTGCAGAAGATCAGCGAGGGACTGGTGCTATGAGCATTGGGTGGCAGCTCTCATTGCCACCCCCCTGACCCAGAAATGGACAATAAAGGGCTTGAAAATGAAAATGAATGAGTTCCTTTCAGCCAAAAATAGTTCCTTTCACAGCGGCAAAGCTGAAAAATCCCTGAGCAATTTGAGTCATTTGAAAAAACAAGTCAAAATGAAACTCTATTCTTTCCATTTGAAAATATGATTTTAATAATGAATGAAAAAATAGGAATAAGTCAATGAAAAGAAGAACTTTAATCAATATTTACATTTCTGATGTATGATGTTTTTCTGTTTGTGCACAGCAGGAGGTTAACTACGTTTGTCACCTCGCTGCTCGCAGTCATAATAATAATTTGAAAACTACACAGACATAACAGGGTGCTTATTATTTGTGAATTAATAAAAAAAATGTTTGCATGATTATCTGGGGAGAAATAGAGGAGGAGGGAGAAGGCAGTCTGTTTTAACTGAGCAAATTGGCAGTAAATAATAGATACAATTTTGGCGCATTTTGCATTTTCAGCTCTGGACATCTAAAGATCAAGAAAACCCAAACCCCCACCGTCCAACTGTGGCCCCCATTACTGACAACTACAGCCTGTCCAGGACTGTGTGTGTGTGTCTGTGTGTGCGTGCGCTCTGAGAGAAAGGCTTATCGACAGGCTTCAGTCGCTAATGCAGCCAGCAGCATCATAGTGTAAATCTACACCATCGCTAAAATTACATACTGTCTAATCCATCCCACTCCAGCGCCCTTCTCCTTCCTACAGCCATCCATCTATCCTCCAGACAGGCCATGTGCAGTGTGACCACAGAGTGGGTCTTCATGTGCTTGTCTACATTTCACAATAAAGACATAATCATATAACAACCATAATAAGCATAAACATTTGCACTGTATACACAATTCCAATGGAGACAAAAGGTCATAATGCCCTCAGTGATTTTGTTTGTTTATTGTGCGCTCTGTCAGTGAGCCACAGACAAGTCAACCACTTAAGGCAAACTTCATCTAGCTGTAATTACATTACATTGTGACAAACACCCCGCCACATTCATTATACATGATGGGCCCCGGCATCCAGACAGCAAGACATTTGTTACCGTGGTGACAGTGTGTGTAATCCGCTAATGAAGCACAATTAGTGAGAAACAATTTAACACAGAGGACGTGGTGTCTGCCCTTCTCCACCACTGACTACAGCTTTTTAAATTATATTTCCTTCCCATCTTCAAATGTTATTCTTAAAATAATATTGTATCTAATTTAAGATAATCAAGAGTGGGCAATCCAATAGTCTACAGTGAGGCCAAAGAGATCACTCAATACATTAGTCCTGCAGTGGCACACACAGCGTTTCACATCCTCATCTCTCCTTTCAAAACATCATATAATCTGTTCACGTCTTTAGGGACCAAGCATTTCTTTCCTCTTATCTCCCTTTCCACTCTCTCCCTTCCTCCGATCGCTGTGCCTTCAACACGGCATTGATTTCTGAATTACGCCACAATATTAAATAATTAATACACTTGCCGTGATTGATGTTTTGCATTAGGCCAATATTAGGTTATCAATCAAAATCCACTTGGTTTAATGTAATAATATTGAAAATGTGTCAGTGCCTGTTCATCCAATTTGTAGTGGATGCAGGCCAGATAGTAATGGTTGTATAGCACAAGGCCTCAGAGACACAATGAGACCTGCGTACAAAAGGAAGAGAGCAGGCTGAGTGGACGAGGAGGCACAGCTGGAGGGACCACTGTATTGAAGTTATTGGAATCCAATACAGAGAATTACTTGGGTTCAAATAAAATAAAATAAACGTAATCATTGAAGGTTTTAACGGACTGGATAGCGTGCATCCTTTCAAAACTGTTGCTATTTGGCCTAGTGACCGATCTATAATGCTGCAGGTTAGAATCTCGAACAAAATGAATGCCTAAAGGCCTGCGCACACCAACCAGACATTGGCATTTGTTTACCAACAGAAGGTGTGGTAGGCATCATGCATATTTTTTGTATGGCGCACATCATTGGCCATCAAAGGACGCAGTTGTTCTCTTTCACAGAGGACAACTATTCAGATTATTCCATTGCTTAAAATATTAGTCAAGTCAAAGAGTAAGTAAGTACTGTGTGGTTCGCTGGAGCCACAGTCAGGGACAAACAGACTACAGCGCATTGTGCGCTCTGCAGAGGAAGTGATTGGCCGCAGCCTTCCATCGCTGCAGGACCTGTACGTCGCCCGAGCTTGAGGGCGGGCTGGTCATATCACAGCTGACCCCTCTCACCCTGCACATGGACTATTCCACCACTCCCACTCCTCTCAGGCAGGAGACTGCGGTCCATCAGGACTAGAACCTCCCGCCACAAGAACAGTTTCTTCCCCTCTGCTGTTGGACTCTTGAACACTTCTTAACCTGCTGTCACCTTACATTGTGTGCACCATGTGCACTTGTATATTGTAAATAGTAATTGTAACTCTATTTTAAATTTAAATTTATTCCTTAGAAGTGTTTTTTATTCTTTATTTTTTATTATCTCTTTGACTGTTGCATTGAGCCAAAGCAATTTCCAAGTCTGACTTCCTGTTACTTACGTGGCAATAAAAATGATTCTGATTCTGAAGTAGTAGTTGTAATAAGTAATCTTTATTTATATACCACCTTTCACAGACCAGAGTTAAAAAGCGGTTTACAATTGTGGGCATTTGTCTCTCACTCCACACAGAGAAGGGAGCGGGGTCACCAGTACAGGAGGCGCATGCCAGACCTATTGTACATGTTTTAAGTGGTAGGGGAAACCGGAGTACCCGGAGGAAACCTAGGCAGACATGGGGAGAACATGCAATCTCCACTCAGAAAGGTCCTGTTCCGACCGGGATTGGGTCCACATCTGGATAGCAAGAGTGCTATCCAGATGGTTGCATGTTATTCCCTGAATGATGAAGAAGCCTCCAGTCCCTGCCTTACTGACCAACAGTTTTTCCCTTCTGCTTGGCACATGTGCGGCACACTTCCTCAGAGCTAAAAAAGAAAAAGGGAGCACTGACGATTATCATTGTATCTTTTTATTTATTAAATAATAACAAAATAGAAACTAGTGCACTTACTTTTGTGTATTGTTATACACAACGTGTTTAAACTATCTTCACACATTCTGTTTCCTCTCTCCAAATGACCCACACTCACACACCCATTTTACCCAAATTCGCCTACACTCACAGACAATGAATTACCGCAGCGGTACCAGATGAGTTGTCATTTGCGGCCAGGTTTCTGATAATTGCGTTAGTTCTTCAGGTGCCCCTCTTTTTCCCTGTGGTGCACTTTTTTTTGGTATTTTTCCTCCTTTTACTTGATCCCCCCACCTCTTTGACATGGCTGAGATGAATATTTTTAGTCAGTCAATGGAGGCGACACAGGGACTTAAAATGCAGACGCGGTCATTTGATTTCCAGCTAACAGAGGTGCCCATTAGCCCAGCACTCATCAGTCATACATTACCTCTCAGACAGCTCAATGTCCTGTGTGAACACAGGTGTTAACCCTTTGCATGACCGAAATATTACTATAGGACGAGAGACCATGTGTTATCACTGGATCAGAATCAAAACATATAGTACTACTAACGTAATAATACATTGGTTTATATAGCACTGAACACTCAAAAGATGCTACCGGTGGCATTATTAATCAACTCAGAGTACATGGTCAACTACTAACACCACTGAATTGAGGGGGTTGTCAAAGTAGTCTTGATAAAATGTGTAAAAGTAATTCCAGGACACACTCAAGATAAAGTCCTTAAAATGTTAAATCAACAGGCTGCACTTCACTTTTACTGGTTTTAATGCTAAAAAAATCCGTGATTGGCCAGCCCACTTTATAACATACACAGACCACACAAACAGAGCTGAGCTGCAGGGAAAAGCTTGCTCGGACCAACTTTTTAGTAAATTGACTTTCTTTTGAGCACAGGACACACAGAGAGGAGTACAAAGGCAAAAGAGCAATCAATTTCCCTGTGGTTTCTTCAATAGCCAGTGCTCCTTTCATACCTCCCAATTAGATCCGCTCTTAATCAGAGAAATACCTCTATTATTTAGACCTAGACAATGACGTTCCAATATTTCTGCTTCATCCCAAACTCTCTAGATTGCAGTGGTGGTACACAAAGAATAAAAGGCACAGACTCTCCAGCAGGGAGAGACGCTTGTTTCAAAATCACATGTGGAAATCTTTTGGCTCTCCTCGTGCCCCCTGAAAAACTGATGGGGAACAATGGCGGCCCAGCACAGCATCTGTCATGGCACAATATAAAAAGATGATCTTGGCACAGAATGGACGACAAAAACAGGGAGAGGGAAAGGAGGGGAGGACTGGGCGAGAGGTAATTCATTTGCAAATCAGGCCCTGGCGCTCAGGTCTATTTCAAGCTGCCATTGGGTGCCAGGAGTTAACAAGGTAATCAGTTTCAATCCTGCCCTTCAATTGTACATCACACCCTCATCCTGAAAATACGTGACCCTTTCTATAGGGGCAAGAGGGGGAAATAGCAATCTGGAACAGATACAGTACATGTTACACCTGAAGAGATTCAGCGCAAAAGTGATATTGCTCCAGTGCAGCTTCTGGGATGCAAAAATGGAAAACGATGGGAAAAGCTGTAAAGTTGTAACCGA